TTGCCTGCTTCAACTTTTGAGGGCTTATAGTACAGAGAATTAAGTAATGCTTAAAAAACGAGCAGGAGTGTTTTATCGGGTTTTTGACCCGATAAAACACGTGCTGCGAGGTTTTTGAACGGCTTCAAAAACATTCTTGGAAAAGCGTGTGTCAAGAGATTTCATAACAATTATGCTTTTGTGAACGGTCGAAATTAGCATACGAGAAAAACATCAGGGATTAAATTAGTATGCAAGAAAATCAATAGAGAGACTACTGGCAAAAGGTCAAACGCAGAGGTTAGCGAAAACGAGTTGGAGTCACTTCTGCCAACTGATCTTGAATTCGAAGTTTCAGATGATGTATTGTCTAATATGCCTTTACCAGATTACTGTACTAATGGAATAGAGAATTTTTCCAGATGTGTATTCCACAACTGTACTATTAATTTGGTGCAAAAGTAAATTTACTGTGTGAAATTTGTTGAAAGAACATTAAATATGTTCCCACCATTTGTTGTGTCAGTTTCTGTGTTGAAAATTAATTGATATTCATAAGTCACGCGCAGTGTCTTAATATCTGATAAAACACCGCATACTAATAAGGATGAGGTTTATCGATATAAAGTCACTACACGTGATGTATTATCTACCATTTGATAGGTTAATGGGCTTATGAATTATTAATGAGTTTTTGAAGACATAGTAAACAGCTACAATTAATACAAAGATGAAAATTTGAAGATAAGTGATGAGAATAAAGAAAAATATAAACTTGAGAATAATTAGTTGATCCAATACTAAATTCTTAGAACTAACATAAGAATTGTATAGTTGACAGTAAGGAGAATTAAAAGTTTGAACTGGGAGTTAAATTTTAAATTTTATTTGATCAAAAACATGAATGGCAATAGAGGGAATTAGCCAGCAAAATTCAAGTTTCCCCTCTAATTAAGTATTCTGTGATGTTTTTCTATCACATGGTAAAGTTTACAGTTTCCCTCATTTCACTGTCTTCTGTTCACTTGTTTGTTTGCTTTCCTAACAATCTTAGCTATTGTTGCCAACAAATGCGAGGAGCATATAAATGAAAATGTGTACAGCTAATAACACTTTAATCCCTGAGAGTGACTAGCATCTAATTTCTCCATTCAATATCACCCATGAGTCACACATTAAGGTCATGAGAATAAAGGAAATGATAATCAACTGAAGAACCTCTTAATTGTTAAACAAATTCTCCTTGCCAGCACATAAGGAAATATATAGAGAACAGTTTGGAGAATATGCATTCTAATATTGGAGTGTAAGGGGCTAAAGACATCATGTAATCAGTTATATATATGTAGAGTACTGCTTGAATATATGATTGCATTAAGTACAATTGCCAAGTAAACATCATTCTGTGGTCTTCTACTCTTCCACCCTGAAGGTTGCCTTGTGTAACAAAAAAAACCTTTTTAAAGACACCTCTACAATGGTAGGTACACACAACTGACATGTATGAGTGAAGCATGTCAAGCACGAAGGTATGATTGTCAATTTGCCTTTTATTACTTGCAAACAGCTTACTTCTATCAGCCTTAAAAACTTATGTATCCCCACTTTCAAAGAAAAGCATTTCCCATGAAAATTTAAACATTAAAGACATAAGCTACCAGCAACAGGTTTTCCATTGCAAGTGTTTCATATCATCAGATTCTCATCACATTTTTTTGTTACTGGTACATTTGAAAGCATAACAATATTTTAATCATTACAATATGTTGAAATCCCCCATTTTAACCCTTTAACTCCCATAAGTAACCCAGAAAGAATTTCTCCTTACAATATCAAAACAATATCAAGCAAACAAGTGATGAGAATAAGAAAAATATCAGTTAGGGGATTATAAGATGATCCAATACTAAATCCTCCAAACTAACATCACAAGAACTGTATAGGAGATAGTAAGGAGAATTACTAATGAGATCTTGGGAGTTAAAGGGTTATGTCCCACTGTTAACCTAGACAGAATTTCTCCTTACACTATTAGTATGACATAAAGCAGACAAGTAACGAGAATTAAGACAAATATCAATTTGACGATTATTGGTTGATCCAATTCCAAATTCTCAAATTTAACATCACATAAATTGTATGGCAGACAGTAAGAAAGATTACTCATGAAATTTTGGGAGTTAAAGGGTTGAGACATATGGTAATTATGTGTTACAGAAAGACAGCAAATAAATATAACAGTATATGTCAGTAAAGTGTTCTTATGTAGAATGAAGTTTCAAACTCATTGAAATTAAGTTGACTTCATAATTCATATTTTAGTTAAAGAAATGCGCAATATCTCTTTACAAGGATGAAAAGGGAATGCCATTTATGAATTTTAAAATAGTAAATGCCAAAAACAAAAAGATGGAATTTAAAAATATAGCATATCTATTCACTGAGGTTTTAATTATTAGCTGTCGCACAGAGATATAAAATAGGGTTTCTGAAAAAAACCAGGGCAATAAAATTAAAGATT